GATTTCACGCGCAGCAATTTTGAAAGTAATACGCTTGCATTTGTAGTTTTATTTCTTCAGATCGTTGGAGATACTCTTTGCATAAACCACACTGGTTCTTTTTTGGGCCTATGAAATGAAATATTCGTGGATTTAAAAACTGTGCAGTATGATGTGAAACACGGTTTTCCAAGGTTGAAATCCACCTCTTCTGAAAACATAGTATACATTTTATTCAAAGTCAAGTGGCTACAAAGATATTCCCGAGCAGTAATGCGACTTCACCCTTTGGAATCGATTAATACGACCTTTAATCGGCTTTCGATTAGCCTCGCTGTCTTGATTAGATGTGCCGCAGCTGCATCGAAGGTTTACCTCAATGCGGCTGCAACACAGCTACCACCAGGACCATCTGTTTGGTTCATGCCGGTAGTTTCAAGTTCTTCGAGTACTGTTCGGATTGTTTTCTCACTGATACTTAGTGTTCGTGAATAATTTACGACACACTTTGACTGCGTTTCCTTCCAATGAAAGAAAAAAGAAGTTCGTATTTCGACGACGCGATTCCGTTTTACCCGTTGTACACGGTTTCTTCGGTATTTGCTTAATGTGCCACAGAATAAATTCCCTATGAAACTGCGAGTCACCTCATTGGTAGAACGCTTTGAATATGGCCTGCCTGCATTCCTCGCTAAACTTAGCACACTGCCTTCCGTTTTCCACCACTCAGTACGGCACATTGAATCTAATACTCTACTCTGCCCTTTTTTTTTGTATTTACCGAAAAATATTCTGCATCACTGCACCGAGAAAGTTTCTTTTTCTTTACCATTGTAATTTTCGCTTGGTCGTATTCCCTCAGAGCACGTAGGCAAATCCTCCATAAAATGTTTCCAGCACAAAAGAATGGAGCACCGCAAACACGAACGAAAAACTTCTCTTTTCTCGTAGTGTTTATAGCGCCTCTCGAGAAACGTCCATAAGTCATAATATTTTCATCAGATATTTGAGAAACGCCCAATGTTTATCGTTCCACAAAACACAAACGGCGTTACATAGAGATATGCCGCTCCGTCACAACACGAAAGACCCAGGCTTATATTTAAAGGCGTATCTAACTCAAAAATTTTGAGATACGCCTTCACGTAATTTCACCGACGAAACGATCGATGACCCTATTTTTTCCTTTACAAAATGAAAATTTACAATTTTACATTTCCAAAATGATAGCGTAGCTCCCGTATTTGCACAATAGAGGTTTTATATATTTATGTCTAAATTAAATAGCTACAAAGCGAGCATAAATAATAACTATACCCTTTCGTGATTTATGTACCCATAAAAGTGAGAATTCAATCGATACGTTAATAAGAAAGTGAACGACCGTATTTAAATCCTACCTTTAAAAAGTTTCAGATAGAAATGCGATAAGAGCCATTAAAATGTTAATGGAATTACAGAATTTTCATGTAGTCGCTGTTTTTCTGTCCACCGTAACACCGCTGCGTGGCGAGTGTCAACGCTGATCGATTGCGGAATACTTTAGTTCGACCTTCGTCGATACGTTGTTTAATATTAACATATGTAAAGGTACGCGACGAAGGTCAGCGTAGACTTATTAATTTCGAGGAACTTTTTAAATATTCGATTTTAGCAGAAAAAATAAGGTTTTAAGGGTGAACGATCTCTAAATATTCAAATATACAGGATTTTATGTAAGGTCCACTTCAAAATATTGCATGAATTTCTGATTGAAACTATGGAAGAAAACCATATATTTCCTACTTATTCTGTAGTCATAAAGTTTGTGTAAACAATAAACTCTAGATGCCAGGAATTACTGTGATTTAAAAGAGTTATAAATAATAAATGTTTGGAACTTGATACCATAACTGTAGCTAGAAGCTTAAAAATAAAATTTAATACTAATTTATGATAATTTCTTGATGGGGTTTATCTACTTTTTTACACATTCGATCACTTTGTTTTTTCTTACTCCTTTTTCTAAGTGCAGCTCTTTGTATAACATTACAGAACAATTACATGTAGGCCTACTAATCGTTTTGTAATGTCACTCAAAGAGCTGCGGGAGAGCCATCTCGTGATTTTTTAATATTCTTTACATTTTTGTCCCGTGGGCACTAACGTGTAAGAGGGTCTTTTATCCCATAACCTTCGTGAGTTTGATCGGGCCCACAACGGGAACGAGAGTGGCGAGGGATGGGCCTTTCCGACCATGAAAAATTCCACCAGTTGCTCGCCCGAATTCCATCACGGGTCCCTCAGAATATTTGGCTGAAACTTTATCCGCTCGGTCATTATTTCATTCATTTTGATCCTTTATTCCTATAGTCGTATATATTAAAAAGTACGCTTTAGATAGTAAAATCTATTCGAAATATATATCGTAATAATGTGTTCTGGATTTTATGTAATCATAAATCTTATGTACTTCGTGAATTATTTCAGTCTAGACTTTCAGATTCGAATACAGTACATTAATGTTTCCAATCCCCATTTGGATGGAGAGGTAGAATTTATAGATTATGAATTAGAACAATTACCTAGATTGGACTTTTAATAGCACTTTATGACTCATACAAACGAGATGATTGTTCTGAAATAATTCGTANATAAATGTGAGCCTCTGTTTATAGTACAGAATTAGAGATACGGTATAAGTGCACTTTACTGATAATTCAATCAAAATAACAACAAACTACGTAGAAAAATATTGCGCTGACTTTCAGACTTTTAAATTACTTTGTATCGTGTCCTCAAACCTTGTAATTCAAACTTTATCCACCTCTAATTAAGACAGAAAACCGAAATTTTAGGGGCACGAAAACGATGCGTTTTAATGACGTTTTAGGGAAGTGACCCACTAAGCTCTCCATTCCGAAACCCGATAAGCATAACCAAATGCAGAATTTAATCATCGTGTACGTGTCTGGAGTTATCCCCACAAACATCACGCCGCACCGTAGTGATGCATATAGCGAGGGCTTACTATTTTGGCTAATGTATTTCACTGGCAAAATCTTAAGGGGAGGTGATAATATCTTAGATTTCCGTCGTTCTATTGCGAGATCTTTATCGAAGAAATATGGTACCGGTGACTGTTGTTCCAATTTCTGTTAGAAACACTCTGCAAATAATGTCGTTCTAACGGACTAGGCTAGAACAGGGATGGTAAACCTTTTTGAGTGTTCGCGCCATATTGTAAGCGTACTTAACTTTAAAGACGTTTACGCCCGACAAAGTTTTAGACTTCGAATAACGATATTTAAAGAAATTTAACGACTATGCTTTAGAATGAATGAGAAAAAGCTGATTGAAACCGAAAAAATGATTGAAACAGACAAACGATAAATTGAAATCGTACGATACGTTACGTGCCAGATAATTTCTCATTACGTGCCACTTTGGGCACGCGTGCCATAGGTTGACCCTGGGCTAGAAGAAAGCGTGTCCTTTGTAAGAGCAAAATGTCAGAAACGTGATTCGGTAACAGAGTGGAATTTATCGGGCTCTCTTTACGTGTCTAAAAGGAAAACAGTAAATCAGAGATGGATCAGAAAAAAGAGACGTCGACATTTCCACCAACTACCTATCACAGTGTTTTTCAACCTGTGGGTCGCGACCCCCAAGGGGGTCCCGAAGCCTTACACGGGGGGTCGCGGGTGAAAGAAAAAGACAAGTGTTTGTAGGTCCTACACTACAATAAAAAAAATCTAGAATTTAAGTGAGAAGGCTGTGCCTGTTTATTTTACAGTACAATTGGTTTTTCGATCGATATTTAAAGAAAGAAAATTAAATACGTAGTTCTTAGAATCACTGATAAAGTTTTAATATGGCCCTGGGAGATGGCCAGAATTTTTTAACTTGTAAAGGGGTCGCGTATTCAAGAAGGTTGAAAAACACTGACCTATCACATAACTCCGTAGATGTGGTTGGCAAAGTGCGCCTTAAATGATTAACTCCGAACTGACCATTGGTTTCCCAACAATACCGTTTTTTATGCGCACTATGTTTCATTTGACATTCGTTTACATAAATTTAATTAAATACAACATCGCAACGTCATACGTAATATTTTTGTATTTAACTGGCAATTCTTTAAGAATTTACCACGGCCTATTCCGATGCGAGTTTTGAACAGTATACCGAACAATTCATTTTTGGTAACATAATACCGTGTATTCGTTCCGCCCGGTTTTAATGGTACAATTAACTTCTCTTCCTCATTAATTTTTAAAGCGTTTTAATCGTCTGCGATCCAAAGGTGTACCGCGCTTAGTTTTAGTAGAAACCACTTCAGAAAGTATTTTAAAGTAGGTTTCTTTTCTCGAGAAAAATAAAAATAATTGTATTCTGGTTTACTCGCAATTAATACACGTAACTTTTCAAAAAAATCAGGGTTCGCCGCAGTAGTCATTAATATCGGATAAAAAATATAAAAATTTAGCAAACCTTACGTAAGACTGGCAAACAGCGGAGTGTCGGAGAGTATAACAAATATATGCCACGTGACCTCGATGGCGGCAGAGGATTTGGCCCGAGAGAACAAACGATTCGGCGTTTTTGTCGCTTCTCTCTGGCTGTGTCTTTGTGGACAAGCGCGGATAACCTCCACCAGAGCCTATCCGCTCTTTCTCGACATATACCGGGATGGTTCGAATGTATAAATATAATATAACCAAATATCCGATCTTTCACCGACATATTTTGATACGTGTCATCGGAGAATACTGACATTCTCTAATTTCGGTTTTTCACGGTAACGTGTATAGGAAAAGTAAGATTGAGAAACTGTATGCTTATCTGATCTTTTCATGTATTCTATAGAAATTAAAACAAAATATTTTATTCGAATTTTTATAGGAGTAGTAAGTTGGATTCGACTTGAAATGCGCCACGAACTCGGATCCTTGAAGTGGAAGCGCGATTCCATTTCATGTCGCCACATGTCTTTCTAAAAAAAATAATAATAAAAAACGCCAAAAATTAATACCAGAAAATTTAATTGACTTTAAATTATATATTTTTCATATGTTCTAGATTTGTATAATCGAAGAATTTTCTTAGTTATAGATCAGGCAGCATATATACTAGTGTGAAAGCGTGTTGCGGCTTTATATTAAGTCATCTCCACTTCGGAGTGGTTTTCTTGAATAGCGCGAGAAATGTTATTCGAACTTTATCTTCGGGCAAGCAGGGACCAAAAGCTTGCAGAAGAAGAGGTTCCTGTTGTACACTTTTCTTATAGTCCGAGAAAGACAAATGATCGTCTCGATCGTAATCCATTTTATCGATGATCATATCTATAAAGTCTTTAGTGACGTCTTCGGGGTCTTCGTCTCCGGTCTTCTGTATCCTATGCTTCAGTAAAGAGTAAAGATCTTCTCGAGAAATGCAACCGTTACCTCCCAGATCGTAAACGCGAAAACAAAAGTTCATCTTCTCCTCCATGGTGCCGCACAGAAAAACTGATAGACCTTGTATCCATTCTTCCACGCTTATCTTCCCGTTGTTGCTTTTATTGAAGATCCTGAAGATCCTTTCTATGACGGGATCGTCTGTCATATCGAAAGTATTCTGAAGAAAATCGATAAAGGTGGCCTTGTCCATGACCGAATGTCCGCATACTTCTCTGTAGATGTCGATCAGCATCTTAATCTCTGCTCGATTGAAGTGGCATCGTCCATTCAACTTCTCTACTAATCTTACATCATCCGATCTGGCGGTGTACATTTCTATACGAAAGAAAATGGAGGAGTTAATACCCAGTGAAAACCGATGCTTGTTAAATGCTAGACGGTTGTTCCATTATTCAATCGAATCTTAATTTGTTACGTTATAACAATAGCGATATTGTTACGTCTACTGTAGCCTATACGTTTTCTATCGACGACTTATTCGGTTTAACTCTATTCTATTTGACTATAAAATGTCGCAAGCCATCATCGAGAATACTTCTTCTGGACTTGTGTACAAACAAATATTCATATTCAGAAATCCCACGATGCGGAGCTGGACTTAAACCTTTGTAGCCCTAAGCTATAACGTATGACAGGGCTTTCCTATAATGGTGTATATAAAAATGTCAGGCCCTAAGAGAGGGCCTAACTTTTTATTATAGGTAATAATAACTGTTCAAGAAATATGAGTTATGTTACACTTGGAAGAACGAATCGTTCGAGAAGACTAACAAAGTTCAAGCGAGCGATCACAGGAATTGGAAATTTTTTAAGTTGGCCATATGGCTAGTGATCTGGACTTCTTACTTAACGGTGTTGCTTCTAAAGGCCCGCATCCATTAAAATGTCCCGCCTTTTGCTTCACCTCGTACACACACCGTTTTCACATACATTAAATCGCCGTTGAAAATACGTAAGGGCGTTTCTCATTTCGTTCAACATTACAGGAAGAGCGATTTAAAAAAAGGGACTTTCTTATTTTCTTCGTAAATAAGAAACTATTGAGCATAACTACGATTTAATTTTAAAATTTGGCTGAAAGTAACTAAATCAACTGATTGCTATTAAAATAAAATGTTTTGTAGGCAATAAAAACAAAATGAAAAGAGACACTATTGTACCGAAGAGTTTTTAATGACAAACGTAAAATCAACAATAAACACAAAAATACGAGTAAATTGACATAAGGATAAACTATTTAAGAAGAAAATGCACGAGGTACAAAAGTGAGTTTAAAAAATGCAATTCAAAAATTTCGTTTAAACTCGTTAAAAAACTGAAAGATGCTAAGTGCTGAAGTAGAATACCTGCCGTTTACTTCACCACGTAAAGCGCAATAATGTAATATTTATGGGATGAAGATGAAAAGGAAAATAAAAATGAACGATACCTTTTTGACAAACTGTGTAACAACTTCCCTTTCTTTCTTTTACTCTGTCGAATGAGGCAAATATTTATAAAAATGGACATGTTCGGTTAAATTTATTATTGATGTTGGTCCAGAGCAAAGAGCGATTAAGTCGTTGTACTTTTCCAATGACAATGGACGAGATATGTATCCAGTTTTAAGGAAAACTAATCAGAAAAAGCACCTGNCGCTGCTCACGTTGTTCAGTCATTTTCCAGCTTAGTGAAATCCAACGAGAGCGCACTACATGACCTCACTCATAGGCCGATTGCCAACGACTGACGCTTCCTGCAGGCGGGAAAAAATTCAGGGCTGTGCATGACTGTCCCCTCTACAACTCCACCGAAAGAGGCCTGTCACGCATCATTGGTTTATGCGGAAAAAAAAAAAGGTCCGATACTTTTTGAACAGACCTTGTACATTATGTTCAGCATCTTTCTCTCTATTAAAAACGAAATTATCCAAATTATTTAATGCATAAAATTCTTAAATAATTGCACATGCAAGAAGTACAATGTTAATTTATACAGACACAGAACTCAATTATGCAATGAAATCTGTATATATAAGGTTTTACATCATAAAATTCTTAAATAATTTATTTATGAATTTATCAAATTCATTGCTGGAGTAAAAGTTAAAGTTGCCAAGCAACTTACATAACTGAAATACTTATATCAGTTAGGTAAAATATTCATAAATTTTACCAATAAAAAAAAGCTAAAGAAATATATATTACATGATTTACTTTTACCTGGAACATATCCAAAATTTTGAATATTTTCCAATATGTACTGTACATATATATCAGGGAAGGGGAAAAGTGGTCTAGCCAAAGTAAGAAAATGTTTGTCATGTTAAATCCAGTACACATGTACCTGGCTTAACATGACACCTAAACATGTAGATAAATACTGACAGTTCTGTCATCCACAGTTCAGTTCAGGTATATCAGGACACGTGTACCTAGTTTTAAAAGAGAAAGGTATTTGTAAGGTATTGCTTTCCCTCCTTCCTTTTCCTTTTACCCGTTCCTGTATGGAAAAGTCTATTGATTTGGTTTGAGTGTTACACACTAGTAGGTGATTTAAAATTAAAACTATGTAATTTGGCAGTGAAAAGTAATAAAGCCACAGCTAAACTCTTTCCTATGGCCAAGTTTAACTTATTCGCTATCCAGTATATAGTTGGTTATAAGTTCCTATGGCCTATTATATATATTAGTCTTAGCAGAGTGCAAGTATTTTGATTGACAAATGACGTTAGCAATAGAATTAAAGTACGAGCCAAATATTTTTCTAGCAATCCAAAATTCAGTTAACCATATTTTGGGTTCTAGATGTACTTGCTAATATGAATCTTTAACTGAATGAGTTAGCATTTATGTATTGAACAAGAAGTATCTCATTATAAACAAAGTACTAAAGTATTTAAATAAGGCAGAAATTATTAACTAATTTCTAGACATCCTATATACTTGTAGAGATATAATATATTAAAATGCTTATTATTTAATTTTATTCCAATTTTCTAAGTGTTGTGTTTATTATCCATACAACAAATCAAAATTTTATGCTAAAACTGAATTAATTTTCTAATAGGATTAAAACACAGTAAATAAAACATTTATCTTATATATATTATCATCAGGAAATTTGTTTTAAAAATCATGAATTTTTAATTGATTTATTGTCAAGAATTGCATACTTGTTGCTAAATGCTTTAACAATTAATTATGTTTAGTTAAATTTATCAAAGTGTCCTTGATTTGCCAGATTGCAGTTTCCAAATTTGTAAAGATCACAAGACATTGCTTCTATTATAAAAAAAAAATTCCACTGCTTACTGTAGATTCCATGACAATTCCGATATAAGGCATGTTAGTTTTAGCACATTCAGCTTAAGTGCACACTGGACAGAGAAAAATATCACCTGCAATGTGTGCACATCCAGGCAGGTGGACACCTGTAACTTAAATTGCAGATGGACTTTTGTCTCCATCAGTCCACCCAAGTGTGGGCTTAAAGCACTTGATAGAACTTGACGCTTCATTATCCCACATACAATTTAAATTAATAACTTCTATACGTAATAATGAAAATTAAATCACAGAATATTCACCATTCATTTTATGCACTTTACAGATTTGACTTTTGGTAATTAATTCTCTCATTTTCTTTATCTGACAAGAGATAAAATTAGAAATATTATCTACTTTTGTTAATAAATAACACGATTCAATGCAGTCAGAGTAGAAAATAGAACTGATTTAAAATCTAAAAAAGAATGGGGAGGAAACTGGCATAAAAATAACTAATAAAATATTTCTAAATTAAATCTAAATGAATTTAAAGGAATTAATGAAAATTATNAAGTTTATGTACAAATGTTTGCAAAATCCTTTAGTAATTGGAGAATATCTCTACAATGTATTCAGTGAAGAACATAAGAAATCTAAATCAATTATGGTGTGGCTTGATCAAAGTTTAGATTTAATAACATATAACAATTCACTTCGGGCAATTTAATATAACAATTTTTATAAAAAATTCCTTGGTTCCATTTTACAAAAAACTCTAGAAACAGTTGAGCTTTTCATGTGATTTGATAGACTTTAATGATTTCCAATGATTAAATGGAATGTGAAGTCTAGAATAAAATGGGAAGAGAGAAGCTTGTGTATAAATATAAACATTCACAACAAACCTGATATAGCCCGATGTTATACAGCAAACTTGGAGAGTTATTGAGAAGCATGTAGATAAATTCTTACATTACCTCTCTAAGTTATACTTTATATACATATCAGAAAGGATTTAACCATTATATCCAAGAAACTGAATATGAAGAAGTTGATGATCATTACTTTACATCCACTGCCAACCAAGTTAAGTTAACTCCAGTCAGGAAAGCACTGCCCTTCCTGAATTATATAAATTCTGAACCCTCTGAGGGTGTTTACATTTGCAAAATCCACAAAGAAGGAAAGAAGTTATGAATGGTGATTGACAAATGCTGCTCACTGATGTACCTTCTGGAAAAACACCTTCAAGTCTTTATCTCTCTTTAAATGAGGAATACATCATTTCAACTGCCAGCTTCTCCATTTTTCATATAAATTTTAATTTCTAACTATAATGCTTAGGGAATTTGATACCAACTGTACAGTTCTATTTCTCAGCTAAACTCAATAAGGGTTCCCCACTAAAATTAAAAATCTTGTATACAAAATTATGCTCTAAGGACACAAATCACATAGTGATAATTCTTTTTTGAAATCTCAATTTTCATTCTAGAGAATACAATTTTGGAAATCTCAATCCGTAGTTATTTAAAAATAGTGATAAATACTGAATTTTGTCTCATATTTTTTATATTAAAAAAATTAAAAATGATCTGAAAATTTTTAAGAAACTTTACTAAAAATTTCCAGATCATAATCATACAAAACAATAGAATGTTACTTAAATCAGCAAGACAACATTTTAATAAACCACCTAACATTTTCAGCCATCTTCAATGGCTAACATCAGGCTGTCCTATTGGATTGAATGTTTTTAAACATTATAATACAACTTGGAATATCAAACATGTAGGTAACAAACAAATTTAAGTGATGTTAAATAACTTAATGATGTTTTGCTGATTTAAATAAGTTGTATTGTTTTCTATTTTTAAGGACTGAATCAGTTTGGATGTACGTAAATAGATCAGGGCTTTTTAAACTTTGGGTTGCAACTCCATTTAGGATCTATAATTGAATGTACGAGTCACAAAAAGTTAGACAACAGTAAAATTTTGTACTACATATTTATGCAAAGCTGCATTTTCAGCATTGACAATTATAAAATCAAAATGTTGGTCAACATTGAAGATGCCCTGTGTCCTGCAGTATCAAATATTCAGCCAAGATTAAATTATTTATGCAAAAAAAAAAAAAATACCATCATCTTATAAGTATGTGAATTTGCTTTTGTCTTTAATAAATGCAATAAATGGTAATTTGTATAGGCTATCAGAGAATTGTTTTGGAATAAATTATCTTATGATTTATTATCAGTAAATTATTTTATTTTTACCTATAGCCTATATTGAGGGGTTGCATGAAATTTTCTCAGATTGCAAATTGAAAAATTTTAAGAAGCCCTGATATAGATCATATTCAGTTTTTAAATTAAAATTTATAGGAGTTTGTATGAAATTTAATTTATAATTGTTCTAAGGCTTTTATAATAGAAATCTTAATTAACT